CTGTAAAATACAAAACAGTAGTCAGTTTCAGGAGCGCACTCTTTGCCTGTACTGTGCATTCGTTCATCGAGTACTGACTACTTTTTCGGCTGGCGCCAGCTGCTAATGCCTAAGGCATGGAGCGCCCCCGCTGGCGAGGCTGAGCACACCGGCATGAACAATCCCCTTTCTTTTACAACACACACACGCACACTAGACCAAGCACCAAATAGACTCTTGACAGTAGGTTCCTCAGCGGTTTTGGCCCCATTCATGACACTAGTTCAAAATTAAATGGGGGGCAACTAAGTTCAAAATTAAATGGGGGGGCAACTATCTTTACACCCATAAATCACACAGTGCCACACCTACACTGGATGTCATTAATGTGCCAGGTGGAAAGAGGTCAGAGGAGGGACAGGAGAAGTGCATGTTGACCCATCAAGCTCGCAAACCTTTAGATCTATTGTGTGTTGTATGGTTGTAGCAGTTTAACCATTAAAATAGGACATACCCTGCTTTGTAGGCTGTGTACCTTCTGTTTAATAGTGGTGTTGCATTACAATTTACATTAAACTTCCTACAACTAGAATAGTGAGAATGACTTGATCAGGCTATTTGTGGTCTGAGGGATAAAATGTGAACGTGGCATTATAGTCACATACAATGCAGCTTAAATGTCTGGTTCAACACAACAAAATTACAAGAAGGTAAATATTGATATTTCTGTGTAAAATTAGCAATACCATATTCTAAAACTAGTAACTATAGCAGTGGTATAGACATAGTTGTATGTAGTAGCATACATTATAGTACTGAAATGAACTATAGGTACCACAGAAGTCTACTCACAGTAAGTACATATAGTTTTACTTGGTTTTCAGTTCACTGAGGTTTTTGCCTCCTCTGCATTGCCCTGCACTTTTTCCTATTTGCAGTTGTGCATATACTGTACAAAACGTTATTGGATGGGTTGATTTAAATGGTTACGTGCCCCTCTCCACTGTCGCCTCACAGCAAGAAGGTTCCGGGCTCAAGCCCGGGCTGACCCGGGGCCTTTCTGTGTGGAGTCTGCATGTTCTCCCTGTCCCTGTGTGGGTTCTCTCTGGGTACTCCAGTTTATGTGTTACTCTCTTGTTGTGTTGTTACTGACTTGTTATGTTTTGCTAGTTGGCTACTGTGCTTTTTGCACCATAAATTTTAATTGTTCTGAGTTGTAAATAAATAACCAAAAAGTCAGTGTTACGTTGTGGTCATTGTGAAGTACACGCCCAAGCGCTACCCAGAGTCGTGCGGTGTATGGGACCTGGACTAGTCACTAACTAAAATCGGCATGGGTGCTAGCGCCCTGCTAGCTAGTTTAGCTGCTCCAGTATAGTTAGTCTCTCTCCTCCACGCCGGGGGTCATTGCAATATTAAATGTTGGCACGTTGCATTTCACTACATGGGTACATAGACATGGGTTGTGTATTTTACAAATAAAACAGTTCAATCCTTGAATCCTCTCCACTGTCGCCTCACAGCAAGAAGGTTCCGGGCTCAAGCCCGGGCTGACCCGGGGCCTTTCTGTGTGGAGTCTGCATGTTCTCCCTGTCCCTGTGTGGGTTCTCTCTGGGTACTCCAGCTTCCTCCCACAGTCCAAAGACATGCAGCTTAGGTTGACTGGTGACTCTAAATTGCCTGTAGGAGTGAGTGTGAGTTTGTTTGTCTCCAAGTGTCAGCCCTGTGACAGACTGGCGACCGGTCCAGGGTGGACGTCGCCTATGGCCCAATCACAGCTGAGATTGGCTCCAGCCCCCCCGTGACCCTATTCAGGATAAGCACTATAGATAATGGATGGATGGATGCTCATGGCAAGAAATTACATTTGGTTATGTCTGTGCAGGAAAAAAAAAAATCAGTTACTCTGCATAACCTAGCAATATTAAATGTTGGCACGTTGCATTTCACTACATGGGTACATAGACATGGGTTGTGTATTTTACAAATAAAACAGTTCAATCCTTGAATCCTCTCCACTGTCGCCTCACAGCAAGAAGGTTCCGGGCTCAAGCCCGGGCTGACCCGGGGCCTTTCTGTGTGGAGTCTGCATGTTCTCCCTGTGCCTGTGTGGGTTCTCTCTGGGTACTCCAGCTTCCTCCCACAGTCCAAAGACATGCAGCTTAGGTTGACTGGTGACTCTAAATTGCCTGTAGGAGTGAGTGTGAGTTTGTTTGTCTCCAAGTGTCAGCCCTGTGACAGACTGGCGACCGGTCCAGGGTGGACGTCGCCTATGGCCCAATCACAGCTGAGATTGGCTCCAGCCCCCCCGTGACCCTATTCAGGATAAGCACTATAGATAATGGATGGATGGATGCTCATGGCAAGAAATTACATTTGGTTATGTCTGTGCAGGAAAAAAAAAAATCAGTTACTCTGCATAACCTACTGACTAAAGGGACTATTTCTTTGACATGAAGTAACTGAGATTCCACCGTTTCTGAATTGTTGTTAAATGCTTTAGTCATTTGTCATTGCTGTGAGAGCCACAAACAAAACCTATCCACCTCCATGATTTTGTAGTGGCAGTAGAAGTTTCAGATAGCTCAAAAACTGGACTGTTTTAAAAATGGTTGAAAGTGAAATGTAATTAGTGACAGGTGTCTCAATATTATAAGAATGTGAAATGAGCAGAATAATGGGAGCAGTTGCAAAATTTATCATCTGTGGGACAGCTGAGACATTTTGCTGTAAAATAGAGTTCAGTCCTTAAAGTCAGTCCTTTATGAGAGCGGCCCAGTGCCGGCGTGCTGTTATTAAAATCACTGGTGTGATTTAGTGGGTCCTGTTCCCTGCTCGGGTGAGTCATTGATCACAGGCAGCAGACAGAGTGGCCCAGTTAGGTTTGTTCTCACAGATGGATGGTCGAGGGCGGGCAGCTGGGCCTGATACAGCAGAGAGATGGAGAATGGAGAGATCACTTTCGCTCAGTCTTCACTTCCACATTATACAATAATTACATTTGGGCCTAAGGAGCAAGCTTTGTTAATTAAAAGCTGCATTAATGGCGATAAGTGTTTTCTGATGTTATCCTTGCCTCTAAATTGCAGTGAGGGTTGGATCTCTGTGGCATCCCCCTCATCAGTCTACCTCATGCAGAGACCCAGGGAGCTGCGCAGAGCGAGAACTTAACGAAACCTCATCATGTCACTAATGCAAATGTCAAAGCAATTTCTCCAGTGGAGTCGCAGTTACAGTCTTTGTCACCATCAAAATCAAAGCAAGGAAAGGAACCAAGCTCCTGAACTTGAATTTATTAGAGTCTAATGTGTGTGATTCTCAGAAGGAGAAATGGTGTCTGAAGTGGGAGCGAGACTGATTTCTCGAGACACTTCAGTACACAGCAGGAAGCCAGGGCATGACAGGAGATGAGAAAATTATTATCAATCATTTTCAGTCATGATATCGTTTTGACTTTCTTGCTTTCAATACCCAATTTTTTGTTTCTGTAATTGTTTACTTCCAATTATTTTAACCTTTACTCCCAATGGGGTTAAAACTTTTAAAACAGAACTACAAAAAAGTGAATGGAAAGTTTGGCCAAAGACATGCAAATCTTTTTTGATTTTATGTCCTCAGGGCATCCTACGCTTAAAGCAAGATATACAAGATGGTTTTGTAAACAACTCAGGGTGTACAGATACACAAATTCTGGATGACAACACGAGCGGGGTTCTGTAGCTCCTGCTGTGTTCAAATAGGGAAGCTGTACGTAGAGCAGTTAAATACAAAATGAAGTTCATCCTCAACAACACCAAGAGCAGGAAGAAACAGCTGTTTACCTTAATTGGCAAGAGAAAAGTTACAGTAACTGGGCATAAACAAACCTTAGTTTTCTCTATATAATTCTATATAATACATTACTGTCTTGCCTGGTATTCTTTGATGTTCATTAAGCTTTGGTTTGCTCAAGATAATTTCCACCCTTTGTGTATCCCTTATTAGATGAATACACATTTAGGGAAATATATTTATTCACTTTCTTGCCTAGAGTGAGATGAGATTTGATACCATTCATGAATGTGAAGCTACAACCAGTAACCAGTTGGTTTACTTACAATAAATACTAAAAATAGTGGGAAACGCCTTAGTTGTGCCAGCCAAGAGAATATAAAAGTAATAATAATAATAATTATATACATTTAAAACAAGGTTTATTTAAAA